GTCTGTGTGTGTGTGTGTGAGTGTGTGTGTGTGTGTGTGTGTGTGTGTGTGTGTGTCTGTTTGTGCGTGTGAGTCTGTGTGTGTGAGTGTGTGTCTCTGTGTGTGTCTGTTTGTGTGCGTATATACAGTATGTGTGTGTGTGAGTGTGTGTCTCTGTGTGTGTGTGTGTGTGTGTGTCTGTTTGTGCATGTGAGTCTGTGTGTGTGAGTGTGTGTCTCTGTGTGTGTCTGTTTGTGTGCGTATATACAGTATGTGTGTGTGTGAGTGTGTCTGAGTGTGTGTCTCTGTGTGTGTGTGTGTGTGTGTCTGTGCGTATATACAGTATGTGAGTGTGTGTGTGTGAGTGTGTCTGTGTGTGTGCGTATATACAGTGTGTGTGTGTGTGTGTGTGTGAGAGTGTGTATATATATATATATAACATTTCTGTCCCCCCGCATATATAGTACACAGTACACACAGTGTAGTTTTTCCGAGCAAAACAGCAGATTTACTTATTACAGTCATTAAGTCAACAAGGTTTAATTAAATCATGGCCACGAATTAAGAACGTCGTAATAATTAATAAAACTAGCACACAAATTCTTAATTCCTGGGAATTAATTAATTAATAGTTAGCAGCTCTCATTTTGGCTGTGTAAACTTTGCATTGTTTTAACGTTATGAAATCAAACTTAATTAAAAATCGGTACTCACCCATTGATTGCTGTCCATCTTTATATCGGTGTTTTCGGTGCTCCAGCTCGGTAGGTGGCGCTGTCACAAAACAACGAGCCTCCAGTTCTCCTGTTTCTCCTTCGCCCCGCCCCCCAGAGAGTTCGACCAATCCTGACCTTCCACGGCAGGGATGCAAATTAAAGCAACAATACAATCATACATTGATTTTGTAACAAAGTTTTCTCTGCACTGTGAACACTCACATTGTAAATTAAATGAAAATAAAATGGTGTGATTAATTAATACCCGTAATACATTGAACTAACGTTCCTATTTTTTAATCAATTAATTATACCCAGGGCTACACAAACATTTTGTTTAGCTTGTTTAGTCTTTTTTTAGTTCATGATGCAGTGCTTTAAAGGGATTGTTGACCCAAAAATGAAAAGGTGCCGTTACTGTACTAACCCTCGGGCCAGCCAACACTCGTTTAGTCTGATGCTATACATGCTGATTATTATTAAATAAAGGCTGTTATGTGCTGTAATGTGTGTGTTTAGTGACTGATAGACACCAGTTAATCATTTTAAATAATTTTGTTAAATTATAAAAATATATAAAATGTAATAACTAGTTCCACAGCAATTTCTTATGATGCCCAAATAATCCGTCTTAGTTGAGGTAACATAACACACAGGGAGCGGACGGTCAAACATTTAGAAAACTACAGCAAATTAAAACATTTGTCGAATGGACTATAAAACTATTTCAGTAAAGGCTGATCAACTAAAAGCTAACAATTCAGGCAACACTTTGAGCAGAAACTGAGTGAACGTAACATTTACAACTAGTTACTAAATCATAATGATTTGAAACGGCTTGAAATGATTTTGACCGCCATCGTGGCGTAGGTGGAGGACGGCAGAGAAAACTCCATCTTCAGCGCCCCATACTTCCCCTCTGCACACACACACATACATATATACATATATATATATATATATATATAATACACACACATAGTAAACTGTGCAACAATAATTTAGGGAGTTCACCACAGGGTCATGACCTTTAACCCCACTGACGGTCTTTAGGGTGTGCTATAGACTTTACTCTCCCATTGGCAATATTAAAAGATTAATACAATGCACACTGTGATCAAAGCTCAAGGCGGTTCAGTGAAAAGCACTGATGTTTTTGGGCCAGGCAGTGAATAAACCAACAGAAGTCTATAGAGCCGAGTAAATGTGTGTGTCTTGAACCTTTGAGGTAGACCGGAGCCGGAGCGTTTTCTAGTTTCTCCACATCTGTGTGAACGAGAGGCACTCGTGGATCATCGTACTGGATCAGCTCCCTTTGGAGGAGAAAGATCAGAGGAATGGGTCAGAACTGAAGCAGCAGCTCAAAGCGCAGGAGCAGAGCGAGTTACTGGAGCTCACTCACCAGCTGACGTCTCTGGGGCGAATGAGGATCCTCCTGTAAGCGCCGGCCAGAGAGTAATCCCGAACCTTGTGCCTCATGTGCTCGATGTCCAGGTCATCAGCGCTCAGCATGTCTCTGTAGCCTCCACCCACTGCAGGAGACGCACAAACGACCAGAACACCAGTGAGGAATCAAACAGCACAGAGAAAACACACCTGAGCATCAGACGAGCAGAGCTGCTTCCTCAAACCTTCTCCGTGTTTCTTAACCTCTGTGCCACCAAATAAACCACAACTATATCCCCCACCACCACGATGACTCGCAATATCTACACGCTAAAATATTTTAAAGATTGACCAGGCTACATGCATCTACATTCATTACAGGCATTTAACCATTTTATGAACTTTCTAACTTTTCCAGGTCTAAAAAAACACTTCTAAAATGAGGCTTCCTCATATATCCAGGTTTTCCCAGAATGCCTCACCACTGTGAGTGGGATAAATGACGTCGAACCCCGGCAGCGGCATCACCACGTCATGAAGAGAGTGTTTATCTGCCTCATCAGCGGACAGAACATGAGCCGAGCCTGAAAAACACCGGAGATTCTGTCAGCATCATCACACACACACACTTTCTCTCTCTCTCTCTCTCTCACACACACACACACACACACACACACACTTTCTCTCTCTCTCTCTGCCTGAAAAACACCGGAGATTCTGTCAGCATCATCACACACACACACACACACTTTCTCTCTCTCTCTCACACACACACACACACACTCACTTCCTCTGAGAACCAGATCTCCCTCCACGGCTCTGAGTCCGAAGGCCTCCATGCGTTTGCTGACCATACAGTTCCAGATGTAGCTCTGATAGCTGTGGATGTACATCAGCCTGTTGTTACGAGGGATCTGAAGCAGGATAAAGATGGTCAGATCACTGCGTGTGCTGTGTGTTTTGAGCACAAGTTAACATTGTTTTTTCTCACCAGTCCGAAGGCTGTGATGATGTTGTTTTTGCCGTACTTTGCCAGGCCTCGCAGTAACTGACCCTCCACACAGCGTTTGACCGGCAGCTTCTTCAGCGCCGCCTCAGGGTCCTGAGAGCGAGCCCACTCCTCTCTGCACTTCACCAGATAGCCCTTCTCCGCTGGACACACAGACACTCAGTTACACTCACTCTCTCTAGCACTATTACGCTGGCATTAGTAAAGGGGTTTCTCTCGAAACAGACTGACTTTGCTGTGGCTTTACTAGAAAAAACTGAGATGATATATACAGCACCGTGTGTTGCACAGTGAACTCATTAACCATCAGGTAATCAGTGTTGGTGACGGAAGAAGTTTTAGTTATATAGCGCCTTTCCGTAGCTCTAGGTCACTTTACATATAACAAGTAGTTTTGAACATCCACACAAGCAATATAGACAAACAAAATATAAACACATATACAACATATCTGTTTACTATGTACCATTTTGGATAATGGCTATATGTTTTTAACTGACTCTTGAAAGCAGACAAAGATTAAGGGGTAATGAGTTCCATAATTTAGGGGCATTAACACTAAATGACCTTCCACCTACAGTAGACAACCGAAAACGAGGGATGGACAAAAGGCCAAGTTCAGAAGATCTCTGAGACCGGGCAGGGCAGTATGGGTGGAGTAGATCAGCCAGATATGGTGGTGCAAGACCATTTAGAGCCTTAATGTTAGAAGCAGTAACTTAAAGTGAATACGTGATGACACTGGTAACCAGTGAAGATCATGCAGTAAAGCAGTAATGCGAGCAGAACGTCTGGTGGAGGTGAGGATTTTTTGGGAAGGCCTCCAAATAAAGAATTGCAATAATCCAGACGTGATGTGATTTAATGCATGAATTAAAATGTCACTCAGCTAGAGTAAGAGAAGATCGAAGACGTGCAATATTAGAGGTGGAAGGAGCTTTTAACAACAGTGAAAATATGAGTCAAAAGATAAAGTTGATTAAAATAAAACACCAACACAAATTGTAACAAATCCCATCAACATCAAAAGGACAGGTCCATCATTTTTATTAAAGTAGCTGAGCCAATCATCAATATTTCAGTTTTGTCATCATTTAGTTTAAGGAAATTCAGGGACATCCAGTGTTTGATATCCCTGATATATGCAGTAAGTGAGTCAGGTATGGATGGCCTAGCAGAGCTGGTGGTAAGGTAAATTTGGATATCATCTGCATAGCAATAAAATAGTAACATCATACGCATGCATGGATTTCTAAGCGGATATATATAGATGATGAACAGTAGAGGGCCGAGAACTGAACCTTGAGGAACACCCTGTGTCAGTGGAGCAGTGGTGGATCTACACCCTTGTATAGTGACAAAATATTTTCTGTGAAAGTCAGCAGGAAGACTGGCAGACAGAAATCAGCTTGGAGAAAATCAACAGCAGTTCAGAATATGAAAAGACAACGCAGAAAAGCTGAGCGGATGTGGCGGAAGACGAAACTTGAAATACACTATAGCATCTATAAAGACAGCCTTCGTGCTTTCAATGTGGAACTAGCCACAGCAAGACAGACTTTCTTCTCAAACCTTATAAACAGTAACTTAAACAACACTCGCACTCTTTTGCTACTGTTGAGAGACTGACTGCTCTCTTGACACACTTCCCACATATTTTCAAAATAGTGCTTAACTGTTTGGAAGCAGATCTCTTAGAACAGACCACTCAGATCATTAGGATCGAGTCCGTTAGAAATACCAAGGGTTCACACAAAACAAGGGGAATCTGCTTTTAGTTATGTCGCCCGCAGCTGGAATCAGCTTCTAGAAGAGATCAGATGTGCTAAAGCATTAGTCACATTTAAATGCAGACTCAAAACTCATGTTTAGCTGCACATTTATTGAATGAACACTGTACAATGTCCTAACTGATTTCACTATATTTTATGTACTGTATAATCATTTTCTATTCTTAATCGTTTTAAATTCATTATAAACCTCTAAAATCAATTTTTAAAATCATTTTCATAGTTTTTAAATTCCTTGTTTTATTGTTGTGATTATTTTTTTATTATTATTTTCTTTTCTTTTATGTAAAGCACTTTGAATTACCATTGTGTATGAAATGTGCTATATAAATGAACTTGTCTTGTTGATATAGGAAACGAGCCAGGAAAGAGCTGACTCAGTGATACCGATATCAGAAAGATAACCGTGTCAAATGCAGAACTTGTGCTTGTGAACAGCTAGGTAAGTATTTTCCTCATAGGTGATCTAAATAATGGAAAACTAAAACTGAAGTTTATGAGCTTATGATCAGAGAAAGCAAAGTCAGAGCCAGTAACAAGAACATTAAGCAAGCCAAACGCACAAATGAGATCCAGTATATGACCCCTCGAGTGAGTAGGGAAAGTTACATGCAGAGTTAGATTGTACAATGCGATGAATTTATGTCTGTGCTGGATTATTTCAGTGTTTTCATGTATATTAAAATCACCAAACAAAATAACAGATGAATGATTAGCACAGACAAGAGTGAGTAATTCACTTATATCAGAGAAAAAAATCAGAAGGAGATTTTGGGAGTCGATATATTAAGATTACAGCCAGTGATATTTGACAAGTCATTTTAACAGTAGGAGCACAATGATTTAATAGTCTGGATATGATCTTTTTTTCTTCTTCTCCACTATGGTTAGAGAAAAGTCACCTGATGGAGGTTTGACTCCGGTCACCTTTGGCTCGATCAGCGACAGCTTATAGAGAATTACTATTCAGTCAAATGAATCTATTCAGCTGTGCTTGCAATGATCCAGTGAAGTTAGGGTTAGGACTGAATACTGTCTGCCGAGCCGCTTTATAGCTGAAATTCCTGACTGCAGTTATGCAGCACTGACCTTGTATTCCGTTTACCGCTGTAAAGCTGATCTGTACTGTAATAGCCACATCATAAATCAACTTGACTTATTTGTGTTGTTAATGAGAGAATCTGACCTCCAGGACGAGGTTTCAGGATGAGATCCACGACTTCCTTCCAGTTGTTCTGCAGAATCGCCCTGAGAATAAGAGCCAAGAGCAAACCGTGAGTTTCCCTCACATTCCCTCTTCACACAGGTGTGTGTGTGCGTGCGTGTACATGCTAGTGTGTGTGTGGTCGCCTGCCGACTCTGTGTGTCTGTGTGTCTGTGTGAATGTGTGTCTGTGTGAGAGAGAGAGAGAGAGGTCACCTGCCGACTGTGTGTGTCTGTGTGTCTGTGTGAGTGTGTGTCTGTGTGAGAGAGAGAGAGAGAGGTCACCTGCCGACTGTGTGTGTCTGTGTGTCTGTGTGAGTGTGTGTCTGTGTGAGAGAGAGAGAGAGAGGTCACCTGCCGACTCTGTGTGTCTGTGTGAGTGTGTGAGTGTGTGAGTGTGTGTCTGTGTGAGAGAGAGAGAGAGAGAGAGGTCACCTGCCGACTGTGTGTGTCTGTGTGAGAGAGAGAGAGAGAGGTCACCTGCCGACTCTGTGTGTCTGTGTGAGTGTGTGAGTGTGTGAGTGTGTGTCTGTGTGAGAGAGAGAGAGAGAGGTCACCTGCCGACTCTGTGTGTCTGTGTGAGTGTGTGAGTGTGTGAGTGTGTGTCTGTGTGAGAGAGAGAGAGAGAGGTCACCTGCCGACTCTGTGTGTCTGTGTGAGTGTGTGAGTGTGTGAGTGTGTGTCTGTGTGAGAGAGAGAGAGAGAGGTCACCTGCCGACTCTGTGTGTCTGTGTGAGTGTGTGAGTGTGTGAGTGTGTGTCTGTGTGAGAGAGAGAGAGAGAGGTCACCTGCCGACTCTGTGTGTCTGTGTGAGTGTGTGAGTGTGTGAGTGTGTGTCTGTGTGAGAGAGAGAGAGAGAGGTCACCTGCCGACTCTGTGTGTCTGTGTGAGTGTGTGAGTGTGTGAGTGTGTGTCTGTGTGAGAGAGAGAGAGAGAGGTCACCTGCCGACTCTGTGTGTCTGTGTGAGTGTGTGAGTGTGTGAGTGTGTGTCTGTGTGAGAGAGAGAGAGAGAGAGAGAGGGAGTGTGTGGTCACCTGCCGACTCTGTGTGTGTGTGTGTGTGTGTGTGTGTGTCTGTGTGAGTGTGAGTCTGTGTGAGTGTGAGTCTGTGTGTGAGAGAGAGAGAGAGTGAGTGAGTGAGTGAGTGAGTGAGTGAGTGAGTGAGTGAGTGAGTGAGTGAGTGAGTGAGTGAGTGAGTGGTCACCTGCCGACTCTGTGTGTGGGCACGGCTGTGGTGCCAAAGCGCTGCATGCCATAGTAGTTGATGAAGCCGGTTTCTCTGAGTGAAGTCATGGCCTGCTCCACCTGCTCCTCAGAGCCGGAGATATTCCTGTAGCGGAGAGACGCTTCACGCTTAAACACACTGCATGGCCACACGCTGATCTACCTGCAGCAATAACCAGCTTAACCAGCTTGTGCCAGTGACAAACCAGCAGTGCTCATAGAACTTCAACATGAGGGGAATAAATCATGGCTTTTATATTTGGGTGCACTAACCCTTGAAGACCAGCTCAGAATGAAGTGAGTGTAAGCTGGTTTAAATGTCTATCTGGTTGGAGACAGACAGCAGCTCACAGGAGTCAGTGTCTCACCTGAGAACCACCGTGAAGTGGTTTCCCTGCAGTTCTCCCAGTTTTAATGGATGCTTCTTATAGCTGAAGTTCCCCAGCTTCAGGTTCATGAGGCATTTGTTGAGGTGAGACAGTCTCTCAGCGCTGATCCTGTGGAGACACGTTCAGATTCATGTAAACACGGGCGAGTCTGAGGACAGCAGACGTCTGACGGGCTTCACTCACTTCAGCACTGCGATCTCCTGCACCGTGACGGCCCTCTTGTCTTTGGTGCCCATGTAGGAGAACATGTTGGGTCTGACCCTACAGAAACAGAGGAGGAGCTGTGAGCGGGGCGTTAGGGAGCGGCAGCGGCGGCTCAGACCAGCGTTTCACAGACCTGAGGAACTTGGACAGGAGGTTGATGGCGTCCATGGTGTCCTTGTTCTCCTTATAGAGCACGAAATGACAGAAACTCCCGCGGTTCTTCGGCCACGAGTGCTTTCGAGGGGCTTCGGTGGGACACATGAGGAAGAGACGAAAGACTCAACATGAAAATGGACAAAGAAATGTAGCACAGACTCAATCAACATTTAAAATATTATTTTTTCAAAATCGTACATGATGAACACCAGCAGTGCAATATCTACACAAGGTTAGACGCTTCATCAAATCAGTCTAAACAGCAGCATTACACGTGCTACTGAACTGAGCATTTACACCCACAGCTGATTATATTCAGAACACCTCCACAGTACTATCCAATAACAGCGGAAAGCTTACAGCTTTTTAATATTTCTGTCGGGTCACCAAAATAACTCATCCACCGTTTCCTGATGGTTTTAACATCTTTAGTCACAGCCACTAGACGGAGGTCAAGAGACAAGCTTTGAATGAATCTGCAGCAGAAGGACAGATCCCTGCTCTTACCTGCCGAGGGCCGGAGCTCTGTCCAGAGAGCGAGAGGAGCGTTAGGAGAACAAGAGAGCGTTACTCAGGACAGAGAGGACACACTGAAGCACGTCATGCAGGCCAGAGCTCATCGAGTGATCAAGCACCTTCACTACTCACTCAGAGTCCAAGCTCTGTAGCACAGCAGTACCTGCCAGCGCGGTCTTCCCAGCAGCGTGATACGCCACGATGAACTTCTTCCCGTCTCTGTCCTCGGTCTTGGTCTCCAGGCCGGGATACAGCGTCTTCACAGCTCTGTGCAGAAGAGTGCGCTTCTCCTTCGAATCCTCCTGCACCTGAAAGATTCCGTCTGTTAGCCAGCCTGTGGCGGTTTCCCACAATGCACTGGAGCTTGATGCTCAATCAAACAGAAGTAATCAGCTCACTCGTGAATGCTCTCATAACCAGCAGGTGCGCCGTCTTTGATTAAAACTGCAGAGCTGCAGCGTTTCAGTGGCTATATAAAACTCTTATTTACTTCATGAACACAAGCTCAGCTTTTCAAGATGCTAAAACTAACCCTTTAGTTACTGTCCTGATCAAACGACGCATCTTTTGTATTCATGTTCCGACAAAAAGCCCCAGCTGAAGTCTTGAATATCTCTGCTCATAAACACTAGAATATGGAAGTGACTTTTACTGTATCTTCTGATCACACTGCAACTGCTGCTCTTCCTCTGTGTTCCCCGTGAGAACCTCTGAAGAGCCTTACATCTAGATACACTTACTGGAGAACAAAAAAAGTTTGTTTGCTGTGAAACTGATCAAAATGAAGTGAGTTTATGATTACTTGTCAATGGGCTCAGATTAAATCCACTTAATTCAAAGAGAAACAAGTTTTCGTTCCCCATTGTCTGATATTTGCTCATGTTTTAACCATAAACTCACTTCATTTTGTTCAGAAAACAAGACTTCATATCCTCATTTTGCATTTCCAGTAAATATATCTTGATTTATGGATGTTTAGACATATGTACTGTAAAACAAGACAGAAACACTGAGGAAGAGATTCATTTATTTCAGTTCATGCAACATTTAATTACATTTAAGAATGTAAGACTTTCTGCTCTCTTTTAAGATCTTATAAGGCCTTAATTTGTGGATGGGCGAATCAAGAGTTTTTAAGACCTGCAGAAGCCCTGAATAAAAGGGCATGTATTTGATTCGAATGAGAAGCAGCACGTGAAGCACAGACGAGAGTGCCTCACCTCGATGGCCACGCTGGCCTCTTTGTTCTTGAAGAGCTGCAGCTCCTCCAGCTGCTGCTTCTGCTCTTCTGTCAGCGTCTGAGAGTCGGTCGAACTGCACTCCGGAGACTCCTCCTGCCGAGACAAGAGCACTTGTGAGGCGAGTTAGAGTCTAGGGTTCGGCCTGGAGCACAACACTGGCAGCCTCTCACCTCCACATCAGCAGGAACACACAGATCATCCAGACGAACCGTCCTCCCCTCTTTATTGATCTCATGCACCACAAAGTCTGAGTACCTACAGAAGAAACCACGCATGTCACCGAACACACACTCTCTCTCACACACACACACTCTCTCACACACACAC